ACAGGAAGACCAGAGGCAGTACCCACAAAACCGGGTGCCCACTGAGATAATTAAACTGCTTCCCTGAATGGGACTTTCCAATTTGTGAGCCTGATTTATTTTTTTCAGTAAGAGAAAAGATGTAAGTCCCTTTGAGCAAAGTATGCCTGATATATATCACAATATTTATTTTTGGTAGAGTAATGGATCAGTCTTCGGGGAAAGCCAGAGAAAAAGCATTTCTTGAGCTCAGATGTAAATCAGTCACTCTGAAAAATCGCAGGGGAATCTATATTCTTACCCCTCTGCTAACTACAGCGTGCAATAAACACTGACTTTTAAAAGTCACTGTTTCTAGACCTAACACTAACAACAGAGTTAAGGATGTGAGGCCCAAAAAGCAACTGTTTCTGGAATGTCTGCACCTAATTCCCCAAAATGACAATACAACTCAAAACGAAAGAAGAGATCCACCCAACCTGCTGGTATTAAGTTGTACACCGGCGGGGCGGGGGCAAGTTCTAAGCTTTACACGCAGTACTCATTTCCAAGGAGGAAGGATGAAGTGCGGCTGGGCTCAGGATTTAAGGGTCTCCCAAGGGACCAGTCCAGTTATTAGAGGCCAGCCTTCCTATCTACATTAAATGTATCATAGAGCAGGACAAGAGTGAAACTGAAGGACGGGGGAGAAAAGGATCTTCGATGAATCGGCAACTTAAACAGAGATCTTCAAAGGAAAGCTATTTAAATCTAAGGTGTTCCTAATATTAATTATCCTGAACATCTCAGAGGCTCCGATTCACATGCTACAAAGAACACAAAGCCTTTTAATTTTCCTACCTGTCCACGGCACTAGCGGTGATAAATCAGGTATACAGAGAAACCACACATGACTAACGAACCAACCCATTAATGGCGAGCAAAGATCATTTGCCAAGATGACTTATTCAGACATAGTCACATATCATAACCAGCAATATCCTGGAGGCTTAACGCAGCAGGCATAGAAAGCAAGAGCTGGGGCACTCCCTGCCAAGTCTCAGGCACTCCAGGGTGACTGGGGCATCCTCCAGATGCCTGCTATCCAGGCATGAGGAGATTTTATTCATGGCTGCCACCTCCCCAATCTCTTCAAGGTAGACTTGCACTTGGAAAAATACCGAAACTTCTAAAAGGCCTCTTGGGTCACAGAGCTGCCGAGGCCCCAACCTTGCTACGGCCCCTCCTCTGACACTCTTAGAATTCCAGGTACCCTCAGAAAGAAGACCCAGCCTCTGCCACCAGCAACCTTAGCCGTTAGTTTATAGATCTTTATTGTAGGCACTCATTCAAGTAACTGAGCTCCAACTAGGTGTCCGACCCTCTTCTTCTAGGTGCTTGGGAGATGCATAAACAAACAAGTAAATAGATGGGAGTGAGGGAAAGAGAAGAGTTCCCTAAATGCCAGTCCCTTTATTTTACCGGGAAAATAGGCCCAGTGATAGGAATTTTTCTTTGAGGCCAGAGTTGATGGTGTGGCCAGGACTTGAACCCAGGCTGGATCCTTAGCGGGACTGCCACATACAGTGGTGCACAGGGGATGAGGATGAAATTCAACCTATGTTCTGCAACCCAGGAGCAGCCTCATTCCAGTACTATATTCTCACTGTCCCAGACTGACCAATTCCCTTTAACAAAAGCCCCCTTCACTGGAAGGGACAACTCAGGTTCCCCAGATCAGCAACCAACCATCATTAGCAGGACCCAGGAGAGTTTGAGTTCTTTCATGGGATGTAACCCTGACAAGCTATACACTCCCAGCTCTTGTCATGAGTGAGAAAAGTCTGTTGAACTTGAATCTGTTAAGAAATCCACCAATGGCGAAGGTCCCCTGTAATTAATAATCATGACAATAATTTCCTATATTATCATCAGATCTGAAAGGGAAGGCTGCTAGCAAGCTATTTTACATTCTCGCCAAATCCTTTACTCCTCACGATCCCAAGCTGAGGATCTGTCATTGTTCAATCCCAGCTCTAAAGTTCCATATGGATGATGGGAATTAACTTAACCAACTATATGAATATCTACTCTTGACTAAGTGCCAGGGATAAAACAGTGAATACCACCACCCTTGTCAACAACAACACACCATTGTCTCTGACTTCATGGAACTAACACATTGAATACAGAGCTGGGAAAAGCCCAATTGCTAAGGAGTCCCTGACCAGACTGGCAGCCTGCCTGGGGCCAGGTCTGGAAGCAAGAATGTACGTGACCAGCCTATTCTCCCCTCCCTTACTCCATTTTACAGAAGGAAAAATAAGGTCCAGGAATGAGAGCAGGTGGCTTGCCCAAAGTCAGACAGCTGATAATTGAGCTGGGACTTGAACCCACAGTCTCCGGCTTTCCCCCTTCCACCACACTGCCTCCTCCAAGGTTCCAAGGCTGCAAAGGGAAAATAGTTGGTTCTACTGACAGATTGCTTCCTGATGCATGTGCACCCAGAACATGCAGCTTCAACCCATCTTATCAGCACAGACCTCATGCCTATGCTCATCTCTCAAACCAGAATGTTTATAAATATACTTCACTGATCTAGAACTGGGTGTCCTATCTTCATTCACTCTCATTTATCACCCTCTCTGGGTCTCTCTTGATGTTTACTTTCACTTTAAAAACCTCATCTTATAAGAACAGAGCCCTTTTTATCTGATGCTAGCGCCCCCTCTGCTCCTGGGGTCTAATCAATCCATGTCTGGAAATAAGCCAGAGAAGGAAGCAACAGTCCCTTTTATGAAAACAGGCACCTTTCTAAAATGATCTACCCCTGAGCAGGGCACAGACAGAAATTTAAATGAGAAGGAAATAAAGACATCCTCCAGCGACAGTCCTAGCATTCCTTATCAGGCCGGACACCAGGGAAGGTGACTCTGGATTAACAGCTAAACCAAAAACTCTGCCTCCCATTTTTCAGGTTGTTTGGAAAGGGGGTCCAAACTCAAGAAGCCTGAAGAGACAACAGGGTTCAAAATATAATAGTGTATATAGTTCAGCCTCCTCCATTCTGAGGAGTTTAAGGTCTCCAAGATAGTAAGAGAGGGCTCACTGAACACCAATTGCAGGTATATATAAACAGGGGTGCTCAGAGATGCCAGACTGAATGATCCAGACATCTGGCGACCAACACAGACCTTCACCCACCATATTATTTTACACCCACCTGCAGAGCAGAGTCTCCACACTTCCTACCACCCCCTAGCTGCTGCAGCCTGCAGCCTCGGCCAGCAAGGGAGGCTGTCTACGTATAGAGGGGCAAAATCAAGTCCCCACTAGCCAGCCCACTCTTTTTACCATGGCTCCCAACCCCAGGCTTTCAGAAATAGGTCACAGATCTAGATGCAAATGCAGAAAGCACCTCTTCTGAAGAGGACAATAGTTAATTCTTAATTGTTTGGGGGGTCCTTTGAAGATCTGATGGCAGCTCTGGACACACCATGAGAAACTGCAAGCATGCAGTTTATATGTAATTTCACTGGGGGTGACTGGCCTCTGGGGACGTATAAAAAGGCAGAAAGGGCTAACGTGCTCAGAGCCAGCTTTGAGCAAAGAAGCTGTGGGTGGTTCAGGTAAGTAGTCAAAAACACAGTTCTTAACCAGAAAGGGAGAAATGATGTCCCTTCCTTAGCTACTACAAGTTCCAGCCTTCAATTAACCTCTGAAATTTCAACAAGAATTTGGAAACTGAGAGCGCACTCACGCACACACGCCCACACGCACAAAACAAGGACTCATCTTTGTGACTTCCTATCTTCACGTCACAAAATGTCCTGTGGTTGCTAGTTAAGATAGAGTCTCCCAACAGGGCTTATTGCAGAAGGGCTGGGTACCAGCAGAGGAAAGAAGTAGGGCAGAGGTGGACACTGGGATGGAGGACAGTCCAGACAAGGAGAGAGGGATAGCTAAGCTCTCTACTGGCTCTGAGTAGATCCTGGCAGGGCAGGTCCTGACTCTTGCTGTTGGCTCCCCTTGGAAGTCAGACCTGCTGACCCCTTTGCAGCAAACCAAGAAGTCCAGTCCAGGCAGAAACAGCCCGTTCCTTCTGGGTCCACGGGGAGTGGGGGATGCATCCTCTCATTTCTAGGGAGGAGACCCTGGCCCACAGCTTGCCCATAGCCCCCTCGTGGCCCGGGGGTGTCACTGCAGCCCCCTCTGCATTGCTGGACAAAAACCTCAGGGAGGCAGCTCTAATAGTGGTAGAGCAGAATATCTGGTTACCAGAGGCAGCTTGGCATCAGTCTTCAAGCCATGGTGAGGCTGTGTTTGTTCTTGGTTTCTTAAACTAGGACCAAGACTGACACTCAAAGTGATCCTTCTAAACCCCTCCCTGGTACAGTCCCTACAGGGAGCAAGTCCAAGACCTGCTTCATTAAGCCAATAACCTCAGAGCTTCTGTAACATTACCACTGCCCTGTTGATCACTCCTTCCTGCATCACACGCGATTACGCACAATTGTTTCAAAGCTCAACAGAAATAGCAAAAATACACAACACCCTCTGGTTCGTAGACTGCTGGCTAGATTACAAAATACTTGCAGAACACTAAATACCACCCCCCACCCCCATATCCTGTATTTCCAGGTAGCAGATCCTACAGGGGTTTGGGGGAAGTCAGGACTTAAGAACACACGATGAGAAAGAGTGTGGCCCTTGGCCCCATGCAAGCAGAGGGTGTCCATTAATGAAGCTAACTAGCAACTCCACAAAGGGACAAAGTGCAACCCACCTGGGTTGGGGACTTGACTGAAAAGACCAGAGTCGGGGTGGGGGAGAGTCGATCCAGTGGTTCAGCTACCATCTGTCAGAGGTGGGGACGAGTAACTGAACCCAGCAGTGGGGAAAGTGCCCACTGAGGAGAAGGTGGAAAGTTTGGGAGGAGAGAGGAGGGTGCAGTAGTCCAGGGACCAGAAGTGACTGGGGTCAGGGGAAACAGACGGAAGCACAGAGAGTCTTTTCCTTTTCCGGGGGAGGAGAGTCCTTACCTCCTTGATTTTCTCCCGCTGGGCTCGAACTAGGCTCTGGGGCTCCTTACTCTCATCTGCCCTGGTCCCCAGGACCGGGTGGCGGAGGCGGCTCCGGAACGCGTTGAAGTCAAAGCTAAACGGGATGCCCCCCTCCTGGGGTCTGAGGGCCGTGCTGCCGCTGCTCCGGGCCACCGTGGCCATTTCCCGTGTCCCGGTGGGGTGCGTGCGCCGCAGCCACACTTTCCGGCGGCGGGTACTTGCTTGGCTGCTGGCGTCGCCCTCACCGGGGGCTGGCACAGCGGGCGCCGGGTTGGGAGGCGACTCCTGCTCGCGGGCCAGGGGGTGGCCGGCGACTTCGGCCACTACCTCCAGGCCGGGCTGCTGGGTCCGGGGGGCCAGGAAGAGGCGCTTGAGACGAGAGGAGTTGGGCAGCAGGAAGAGGGCCCCGAAGCACAGGGTGACGAGGCCCGAGAGGAAGAGAAGGAAGAGGAACTTCTGCGGCAGCCGCAGCCCCCACGGGGAGGCCGGGACGAAGACGGGCACTTTCCTCATGAGCATCGTGGCCTGGCACGGGGCTGGGGCCGGTCAGCTCCGGCCTCAGCCCCAGGCCCTCTCAGTGCGGGCACTGGGCAGCAGGGGCTCGGGGCGGGGACGTCGTCGAGGGGCGCCGCCCGGGGTGGGGGTCCGTGAGAGTTTCGCCGCTTCGGAGGCTGCCCCCGAAGTTAAGGGAGTTTGGGGTGAGTGTCCCCGAGCTGAGGCAGGGGCGCAACGGCCTCGGCGGGGCCCGGGCGCGCCGGGCGGCACGGC